GCAGCTCGCTCACTCGTAACATTGTGTTTTAATGGTGCATGTACTTTTTAAATAACCATAACTTGCTCAATTTTCTAACGATTTTCTAACGGATTGGTTTGTTATAAACGTCAGAGATGTAGTTATGACACTGCATACTTATGAATAATAAGTGGATAAATAATCATCCAGAATTACAGCCACGTTAGTAAAGTTTGTAAGAAACCAAACCGTTTGTAAATCCGTCAAGATTTCAACGAGATAAGAGTATTTGTGTTCGTGCTGATCACTCATCTTTCATCAGCTTGCCTGTGACAAGATGGCCGCCGGTGATGACGATAGAAACTCAGCCGTAAGACATCTAGCCTTTATTGTGGATATCTATGCTCATTCCAACAACAACAAAACAGGACAACGTCAGTAGCGGTGTTCAGCCCTATATTGCCCGAATTTGAGTCGGACAATTATGCCTACAAAGCCAGAAAATACTGCATGGAGATAGAACAGGTAAAGTTTAGCTTACTTATTACGGTTATAACTTGTCATGTTGCTTTAATCCACTATCAGTATAAGCCTGTTTTAGAGGACCCCGTCCGAATGATGACCAAAACCTTACTGATGAGTTTATTGTGCAGAACATCACCGTAAATGGCTGACAGTTCAACTCACTCACAGTGGAAATTATGCTAATACGGCAGAGTGGGCGGAGCCTGTACAAAGTGATGTCACTTTGCCCAGAATCTGCAAACGTCTTGTTTATGACACAGCTTATTATTTATGGGGATTAAAATAGAGGAGTTGGTGGATTTTTATCATTAGGGTGCATGTGTACACACACTGCCAACACACATTTAAAAGGTTTGGTGGTATGGATAGGTTTATGGGTTGGTTAAGATGTAAGGGAAGGGTCAACAGTGTAATTAAATAATTAGATACATTAATTACAGCTGTAATTACATACATGTATTTTTAAATATAGGTACAATGTAAAAAAAAACATGCATGTACACGCATCAAATTATTATTTTAAATGTTAGTAGATACACTGTAAAAAAATATTGTTGGTTTAACTTAAAAAAGTAAGTAACCTGGTTGACTTAAAATTTTAAGTTGATTGAACTGGAAAAAGTTAATACAATGAAGGAGATTAATTTAATCATCAGAAACTCAAAATAATAAGTTATCTCAACTAAATGAATTATTTAAGTTGATTTGACAAAAGAAAATATGTTGTGATAACAAATCTTGAAAATATTTTTTTTTACAGTAGTTAAAGACGCTTACCGGTAATATATAGTGTGACCTTTAAACACAATTTGTTAACACTATTTTTTAAGTGTCCTTGTTACACGTTACATTACTGTCGTAATAACTATAAATTATGCATACTTGCATACAACTAACCTTACTGTAGTAAGTACGTGTAGTTAATTATACACAGCACTTAAATACATAACATGGACACCTTTATTATAAGATGCCCTTGTTACGGTGTAATAATTATATTAATTATACATTTAAGTAATAACTATGTGCACTTACGTTAGGGATGTGGTTAGCTTAAGAGTTTGGTTTAGGGTTAATTGCATGTAATTAAGCATAAATAACGTTATTACTCACAAGTAACGTGTAACAAAGACATTGTAAAATAAAACCCCAATTTTTTAATCTCTCCCCTGTTTTCACAATACAAAGATGCCGAACTTGACAACAAACTCTTTGCTGCATGCTCCATCCTGCTGTTTATGAATTTGAATAAGCTTGCACACTGCAGCCTTCTTCTCTCTGACCTGAAAAAGCACCACTGTGCACAGCCGTCTCGAAATCAACCACCTGCATTCTGACACCACTATCTGTAGTATCTCCTATTGATAAAAAGAGAGGCAATTCAGAGACGATAAATGCAACGTTTTCTCCTGGGATGATAAAGCACATCCTGGCACTGAACCGCAAGCGGTGATATCTACATGCATCTGCTGTGGTACTCCAAAGATAAGACGGGACTCAGGAAGACGCTAATGTGATGCCACTTTACTGATGTAAGATAGATCATCATGTGCCTCGAATATGCTTTTTTTTTCCTTTCTCTCTCTTTTTTCTCTGCATGGTGTTTCGTTTTCAGCCTGTGGAACCCTCTGCTGTGGTGAGGACAGATGAGAATCAGAGGGAATTATGGGCCAAGGTGACCCATTTAAATGAGAGTGAACGTTCTGGGTTTAAATGAGAGTTGGCGTACTGGGTTTGACATTTTATAAGTCAACTTGAAACATGCAACCCATTTACTTCCGTAATTTGAAGTCTTTCTGAGTGCAACCCGAAATAAAGTTGAGTGGGATTTGAATTCATGTTTTGGGAGTTGAGCTTGAGAAGTGAGGCCCCGTCCACACTACTGCGTTTTCGTTTAAAAGCGGAGACCTTTTGCTACGTTTGCACCTCCTGTCCACACTAAAACGGGAAAAACGAAGACCTAAAACGGAGAAGTTTAGAAACGCTGCAGCTGCGTTTTGCGTTTTGAATCTCCGGAGGGCGTTTTAGTGTGGACGAGACAAAACGGAGGAGTTTACAAACGATGACGCAGAGGCTCACGCTCGGCTCTATGATTGGGTGTCATCAGTCATGACGTATCTTTCCCTGATTTTCCAACCACTGTTTACACCGGCGCGCGCATGCCCAGTGTTGGTGAATGGTCACGTGATCCACGTTTTCAGTCGTTTTAGTGCGGACGGAGATAAATTCTAATACGCAGGTAAAACGCTAGTGTGGACGGAGATCGTATTCGTTTTAATTCTCCGTTTTTAAACGAAAACGCAGTAGTGTGGACGGGGCCTAAGTATCTCATGGCAGAATGGAGCCAAGCGAGGAGGACCTCAGGATCGCAATAGCACGTATAGCCCTGAAGTACAAGATTTGATTTGTTGTGTTTGTTGGTGGAACCGATGGACATTTTTTTGGGCTAATCACTTGATATGTGAATGCCATGCGACTTAAAATAAAGTTGTGATAAAGAGGCGAAGCTTTTGTTACATTTTAACGATGCATTCCGAAAACAAACTTTGATTTTCTTTGGAATAATGTGCACCTGTGATATGAAATGTGCATTAACAAAGTGACTTTTAATATAAATAAAATGAATCATCCTGTTTGACTCCATGTCGCAAAATGGTTGCAATAATGAAGAGGAAAAGGATCTAAAGGCACAGATTGATCTCATGAAATGGCGTATGTATGACACGCCAATTTGTATTTCCATTTTTGGCGTGCTATCAACACACATAATCGCTTTTCAGCGTGTTGATAAACGCCGTTGACTTAACGTTACATTACTGTATATATAAATATAGGACCTACCCCAACCCCGTCCCTAAACCTACCCGTCAAAGGGGTTAATATCATTTATGAGTCTTCCCCTACCATCCTAGGAAAAACAATAGAAACAAAAGAAAAACAAACAGTTTTACCCGTTAACCTCAACCCACACCTTGCTCTGATTGGCTGTAGCTCATGACATCACGTGAGGTTGAGTTGTGCGACAGCTCTGGATATCTAGCATGATATTTTTCTGGGCTTGGCGGCGTGTCTGCGAGCGTCTTTGATGCGTTGTTGGCTCTTTCACACTAACAGATTGGCGAGCGTTCGTCGCGATTTGCTAATCCCCCACGATTTGCACACGAGAACACCCTGACCTGTCAGCGAGCTCAAAGATTTGCAAATCAGGCTTAAAATCATGTACTGTGAACTAGGCTTTATATACACTGCAAAATCTAACCAATCAACTATGAACATCAGGTGCAAACTCTAATCAAACCATGAGTAACCATATAGGAAGTAACTAAAAGAGGGAAAAGGAACAAAGGAAGACCAAAAACCAACTCATAAAACTCAAACACAGATCAAATATGACAGACACTCCAAGGCCGAACCATGACAGTCATTTATATTTAACTGGATAAGGAATGAGAATAAGGATTTTTAAAAATATTTTTACTAAAAATTTGTTCCAGATAAAATCTTTTAGAGCTTGGCATTCCAAGAAAAATGTATATCCATTACAAAAATGCCCATGTTTTAAAATTTTATTGATTTCCAAGACATTTCCAGGTCTAAATATCATACTTTTAAAATTAGGCTCTCCCATATATTTATTCTTCAAAGAGAAGAAAAGTAAGTAAATAAACTAAATGCTACAGTGAAAAACTACAGTGCTGTTCTGCACATATATACTGTAATTATTAAAGTAATAACAATAACTGAATAATAGGGCCTAACCCTGAGCCTAACCGTAGTTGCATTATATTACCCAGTACTTGCAAGTACGCACTGTAAAATTACCACTGGCATTACCACAAGCAGGATTAGTGGAAATTACTGTAATAGAGAGCAACACCTCTCTAAAAAACAATATTTTTTTTAAAGTTTTGTCATTGCTTTTGGAAAAGATTGCAAGAATCAGACACAGAGCAAATGTGCATTATGACAGTGGTGATATTCAAAATAAAATTAGATATTGATTTGACTTTTACGATTTTACGTTTAGTTTAGTCAAGTCAACTTTTAAGATGGACACTTTTCAAGTTTAAACAACACATTTTTCAGTGTACTAAAAGTTCAGTTTAAACCTTTGTGTTTTGAATACAGAAAATGCATTCAGACAGAGAACATATATCTGTTTTTTTGGGACACACACAAACGGATCACTCTAATTACTTGAATAGTACCCGACTGTAAAGCAAAATGACAGTCCCAATGGGCAAATAGTCAAATGCAAATGTCTTTATAAATATATAGCGATGTGCTTGAGCTAGTAGCATAACTAATGGCGTTCAGCACACATCGCCAATTAATCACCTAGCCCCAACTTCCATAAGCCATGATGGATAACTCATGTTGTCCCCATCTATAGACTATAAATCCACCTTATCAGCAAATTCCCGTTCACATCTACTTCTCCGTTCTCTTTTCTTTACTGTCAAGTTTACAAATTCAATAAAAGCCATGTTTGTTCTGTGCTTCTTTTCCAACAGATGTCGGCTGTCTTCACTGATGTTGATGCAATTATAGGCAAGCTGTTTGAAAGGAACAATTCAAACACGGTGTTGGAAAACGATTGAGCACTTGTGTACAAAGCTCTGTGCTTGCCAAAGAGCAGACGCAGCACAGCATCACGGGACGTCGCCTAACCCAAATGTTTCAGCACTGCAATAACACACAGGTGCGTTACACTTTCAAAATATATTCCATTACAAATTATACAAGATCTGTTAAATGTAATTGTATTTGGGTTGGTGAAGAACTTACACAATTCCCTTTATACTTAAATTTCCTCTCTATGTCAGAAAACACAAAGTTACAAGGTAAATAACTATTTCTCAATAATAATTACACTGACAAGTAAAGCAAAGATTTCAAATCATGCATTTCCATGTCTCCAGGTAGGCTATTATAGATCCATTTGGCATTCTTTAATAATTTATGATTTTCACATTGTTTATATGTTAATGATACAAATGCACCACAGAGTATAATGTTTTCAGGTCACATCATTTTTAAGACTTGAGGCATTTGTTCCGGAAAGCTTTCTAAACATTTAACCATTTAAGAATGCTATATGAACCAATTGCTTAAGAGTCAAAAGCACGCGTGTAAAGCACACAGCTGTCAAGTATGCATATGTAATCCATGAGGTATTTGAAAACCTTCATTCATTCAAGGGATTACAATGTGGTCTGAATCAGGGTTTCAACAGAGTCAAGGATACAGGATCCAGGTTGAACCAATCCAGTCAGGCTCACATTTTTCAGAGGATCAGAGTAGAAGAGATGTTGGTTCTCAGCGCCACCGTCATCTGTGGCCGGCAAATCATGGCTCTACCTGTACATGCTCTTGTACTTAGCCAACATTATAATATGTTAAAGATCTGATTGTGAAAATCGATAGCTGTGTCCCAATTCAGAGGCTGCGTCTTTCAAAAGCTGCATTCGAAGGCCAAATGCGGCACTCACAGCTGTCCCAATTGAGCCCGTTCTCATCCTTTGGCGTCATATAGGTGACACCAAATGACATTTTGTTGAAATACTATACGCACATGGCACTCTTTAGCGTCAATATAACACGCAGAAGCCAAGGCGTCATATACGTTGGTGACTGGCATCCTTTAGCGTCAATATGAGACGCAGACCCTACCCCAGACCTAAACCTACCCATAACAGTGTGTGTTATATTGACGCTAAAGGGTGCCATGTGCGTAGTATTTCGAGTCAACGAAATGTCATATGGCGTAAGACAAATCATAAAAACAAATTGTTGCTTTTATAAAAGGGTTAGCACACATTACAAATATTAAAGCCAAAAAATTGTGTATCATTGCAACTTTCATGAAGTAAAATCATTAAAAGCCTTCCTTCCACTGGAAAAAATAGTCCCTGTCAATGGTCACATTATTCTGCCATTAGATGACAACAAACAAAGACTGTCTTTATGAGTCTGTCAGGAGAGAAGACTTTTATATTAAAAGGACTGAAACTCAAGACACAACTGACAAATGACTTGAGGGCACAGGAAACCCCTTAACTCTTAAAAGGACAAGATATCGTGCAGACATTGAAACTGATTCTTTATTACGAATATAGGAGTGATCTGAGGAAAAATTGTATATATACTGTAAATGCAGGTATCGTCCACTCACTTACCTGATCTCTCACAATACTCTACTCCATAACCTTCAGTGAACAATATCAATGAGAACAAACATATGGTTAAGTTGCTAAGAGTGGTCGAAGTGATTGACCAATCAGATTGACCAATAAGAATCAAGAACTGGAACTTACTGTTTTATAAATCTTAATAAGATGCGATTTTATAGATAATGTTTTAATCTTTATTATAAATTGGACCACGGTGAACAAATTTAGAAAGATTGTGAACCAGGTTTTGTTTTCAGACACTTAGGGCCCTTTCACACCTACCTTGTTTGGTCTGGACTATCGGACTTTTCAGTTTGGTCCGAATCAAAATTACAGGTGTGAAACAAACTAAATTTGGTCCGACGAAAAGAGGTAGTCTCGGTCCAGGTCAAACTTTCAGACCTTTTACAGGAAGTTCTGGAGGTTTTTAATTGAACTATGGTCTTATGATATAATAAGAAGTCAACTTGCAATCTTCTCCTCCTTTCCTGCCGGCGTTGATAAAATGTTGAGGACGTTCATTTGGTGAATTTGAACTAGCCTTGTGTATAGTTGGTGCTGCATGTAATGGCATAAAAATAACAATATAGTTGCAACGATATGCGTCTGTCTGTTAATGTTGTCAAAGTTACCCGCCGAATTGACAACACGCAGACGTCAGACGCACGTCCATTTACTAAACCAATCAATGTCAAGATGCAGCCCACATAGATGATGACGACAAGACGCAAGAATGTCGCGTAAAGTTCTTTAGTGCGCTCGCATAATTGCAGTGTGAAACCAAACCAAAACTTTCTGAAAGTATAAAATGTATCAAAACGTGAATTTTGGTTTGGACCTTGACGCGGACTTTCAGGTTATATATAACTTTTCAAAAAAGTCCAGTACAAACATTACTTGTCAACGGCAGCTTGGTGACAAAAGCAATCCTCCATTGGCCCATTTAATGACACTCGGTTCGACCTCCTCTCACTTAGATCCTATGAAGGATACAGCCTCTGAATTGAGACAGCTTATATTTTTTGAATAAATAGCTATCTGGGAAACCCAAGAGATAAATGTTGGTATAGAGACCTATGGTATCCACACACCTATGGTATCCACTGCTATCTGGTTCTCCACCAGCTTGGTCAACTCCTCAGTTGGCGGAGCGCCTAGCTGTAGCGCTGGATACCCCTCTGTTGACGGCCCTCTGACTCCTCCGCCCCCTGGTGGATGGTCAACGGCTCCTCCAGCTTTGGGCACCCGGCAGTGAGTCCTCCGTTCCCTGCTCCTCCCCATCATGTCTCCAGCCTCAGGCAAACAGCTGCTACTCTTCCGCTCCCTCTAATACGGTAGCCGTCCCTCCACATCCCAGGCGGATTGCAGCAAGTTCGTCTTTCCCTTCCGGCAAGTCACTCCAACCCACCGCCACGAGCGTCCATGTCTGCTCAGACTCTCCTCAGCCGAGCTTGATGTCATCACTCCTCCTTTTCTCCTTCCGGAGCTCCTCCGTGAGACTCAAGACCAGTGTGGCGTGCAGATGACACTCATTAGCACTCACGCTCCGTTCCCTCGGCTCTCGGCCCTGTCCTGCTTGTTACACACGTGCTTCAGACACCAGTCACATTGGAGGCATTCCCCATAGCATCTAATTCAGACACAGTGTGAGTTCCCATTGAAAAAGGGAACCCATTGATCCATGTAATTGATGCAACAAAGGCCAAGCCTCAGTCAATTCACAATAATTTCAACTCAAGTATATTTTCTTCTGTAAGAACGGCACGATTCTGGATTGTTGATGCTTCTCAAAGAAATGTATTTAAGGCAATTCAGGCGTAAGTGGGACCTGTATTACATATTTACACAATTTTCAGCAGAAAATCACAATTTAAGTATCTCATTTCCACCATTCAATCCCAAGACATTTTCGGACTATCTCATAAAGTGAACTAATAAACCCAGTAATCAGCCTCCCTCAATGGACATTGTGTGTGACAGCCGGAAGGCAGGTCCCCTAATTCCCAGTAATGGCTGGTTATTGCTGAATATATCTTTGAGAATGGAGGAAATAATGGGACATGCTGCTCTTGGGTGCCCATATAATCCAGCCATTAGAATTTAATGTGAGTTAGCCCTTATGTGTGTGGAGAGAAAAAGGAGGAGATATTCAGAGAGGACTGCTTGTGGTTATTATACAAAAAAAGCAATGCAGATAAAGAGGTGTATATTGTATGCAGTAAAAAAATAAAAGCGATTACGCCAACTAAAAGTCACATTGACTAATGAGAGATTGAATGATGTAAAAAATGATAAACTTATCTATAAGAAGTCACCTTCACCGAGAAGCCCCAACTTCATCTACAGCAGATCGTTTTAATTAAAAAAATGAGCCATTTACCTGCAGGAGATACGAGACATCAAATTCATCGACTCGAGCAATTAACGTTATACAGGCCCGGCGCCAGATGGACTGTGCTAACTGTGCTAACAACAAGGCGGATGTAGTACTTCCAAATTTCTTTCATACTATCCACATTACTATATTGAACACACTTTAAGTCCAAATTCAAGTGTCGTACCTATTCAGACAGTACTTGATTTCAGACGCACCGCAGGAGATTCTCATGTTATTTTGGCTGTAAATCTGGTTCCTCGCAGACACCAGCCTTTCTAAATTGAACCCTCTAAAGCAGACCAGCCCATCCTCATTAAATTCCTGTCAGGACATCACTAATGAGATTTTAACGACCAGAAGACAGATATGTGCCAACGCCATCCTCTTGCCTTAGTAGAAAACTACTTTTGGCACAACAGCACACATTCAAGATCTTTTCTGACTAAAAGACCAGATAGCAGTCCTAATGTTTTGCCGAAGAGCTTATTCTACTTTGAATATGCCGAATTCGAGTCAAATTAGTTGTTTGTTCAAATCACTGACTTCACTAATTAAAACGGGAACTAAAAATAAAATGAGTATTACCTTCTAAATGATTGTCAAATTGTTGACATGCATGGTACACAAACGCTTAATTTTTATTATTTTATCATTATCGTTTTTATAGCCTTTTTATTGTTCTGGCATAGTCGATGTCGCATTGTAAACTAAGAGAGCCAATGGCAGAAACCTAAAGGAGAGTAGAAGAGAGCAAGAAAATGACACACACATTAATAGCACAGTCAATGTGACCAGAAGGAGGGTCACTAATCATGTTATTGGCAGTCCAGAGGTCTTAGTACTCATCAGCGGCGTCTGGGCTGTAATCTGGACGTGTCTCTGCGTTTCATCTAATAAGTATTTTCTGAGCCAAGCACACTCTCATGGACATGGTTGTCTAGGGTAACACTGACTAGTTCAATTATTTAAAGTCTCCCTGTAGCCCATAACTATATACCTCAAAACTAATTTTTGATCACCAATATAGCATATTTAAAGGGGTGATGAACTGAGAAATAAAAATTTCCTTGACCTTTTGACAAGAGGTCATCATATTATAAGAATATCATGTAAGTTTCAGAACTGAAAACGTCCTTGTTAGTCCAATAAAAGCTTTTATTGACACAAGGCTCAAGTGGGGAACTATGACGTCAAAGAGGATAAAACACCACCCCCGCAGAAGAAGATCAACGCCTACTTCAACACGGCCGGTTTAGCCCCGCCCACCCTAAATAACATAGGCCTACCTTGTGATGACAAACCGGATCGAGCTACCGAGCAAAACAAAATATTGTGTGGTGCCTGGTTGTGGAAGAAGACAGTCGCTCCATAAGCTTCCTCTGGATTCCAATAGGACTGCAAGGATAAACTTTATTTTTAATGACGTTCCAGCTGATGAGGGTAAAACCGTCTGTTCGCTTCATTTCACTGAGGATTGTTTTGTAAACAAGACTGGATTTGCAGACCGATTAAGAGTAAAGAACGGTGCTGTGCTGTCTATATTGGATCCGACAGGAATGGTGCAACACACGGACTCTTGGTCGAACATGTATGGGCGACATCATTTACAACAGTGGACATTTTCAAAACAATTTCCCCCAAGTGCATCAATGGGTGAGTTGAAACTCATTATAATACGCAAAACTGTTATCCAGTCACAGCAGTGGGCGTTTACTTCCCAGTCTTCAGTGCGAGACGCCCATAAAAACCGAGAGTTTTTCAGATATAGGCTCAAAAAATAGCCAATTCATTTTGATGTTTTTGAATGCAAAAACCAAGCGAACGTCATAAGTTGACCTCTGACAACAATATAATGAAATTTAAAAAGCCAGTTAATGACCCCTTTAAAGGGTTAGTTCACGCTAAAGTTCTGTTATGGAGCTTTTCTACTGCTGGTACGGCTCAGTACGGTTCCCTTTTCCATTGCGTGGTGCAACTCGGCACGGCACGGCTCAGTTCGCTTTAGTTCGGTTTGCTTTTCCACTGCAGTTAGTACCGCTTCAAAGTGGGTAGGATTATATTCTGATCGTTATAATTTATCTGCTCCTCGGATGGCAACCAACGAGAGGAACATTTACCCTTCGTCCACTGACCACGATTCAGCTATTTATTTTTTGGAAGTTTTCTTTCTTTTTTCTTCAAGCAAGTCAAGCAAGTAGTTTTAAAACAGGTGCTACAGCGGTGGCTGTTACTGGCTTTTTAAATCTAGCGGGTTGGTTTAATGTCTCGCAAATTCTGTCTGACCAATCAGTGATCTGCAGTGTGTTCACGTCACATTTTAGTATCGGTATGGTACGCTTGGAACCTCAACAGAGGTGGTACCATTTAAAGCGAGCCGTACCATACCGAACCATGCAGTGGAAAAGCGCCAAAGCATACCGTCCCGAACCGTACCATACCGTAATCGTTAGTAATTACTCACCCTCATGTTGTTCCAACCCGAGACTGTTAAACAAGAGTGGAACATAAAGACCAAAACCAACAGAAAAGTAAATGGAAAGACCATAAAACCTGGAAGCACTGTAACAAACAAAATGCCCCAATTATGAATTAATGAAGACAACATTGGTGTTATCCATGTTTGTTGAGCTGGTTTTTATGTAATGATCTTGGCATATTAGATTTTAATTCAGTTGATTGTTTCGTTCTGCTCACACAGAGCGGTCGGGTTCCAGTAATGGACTCAAATATTGATTCCTCGAAATCGTTGATAACTCGGATTTTTGTTTTTTGACAATAGAGCCTTCCTGGCTAATTGTCACTCGCAAAGGTCATTTCTAATGAATGTTGTGATTGTGAGGGTGAAGTGTGATTATCTGAGTGTTCATCATTGCATACTAAACAGGGATAAATGTCAGCAGGGACATGGGTCCAAATCGTGGCGCAGGGAGCTTGTGAGGATCTCCTTACTGGCAAACACCTGTAATGATATTTCATCCGTAATCAATACATTGAAGACTTCAAAGGCACCAGAGTCATGCCATCCATTTGATTTGAGCTTTGTTGTAAAATGGAGGTGCCCAAACTATCTTTTTGTGCTTTCATCTGTGTAGGGCTTGTTATTAGATATGACATATCTGTGATATAGAAAACAGCTTCAAACATCTACAAAATTTGTTTCCATGCTGTGATCTTTTCTGAATGAAGTTACATCGAGCTAAAACTCTGAAATGCACACATTCATTTTTGAAAATATTTGAAAAAACTTTGGCTAATGTTCTTCTGTGAGCTGTGCAACTATTGCAACATGCCAAGCGGATAATTATGGTTAAAACAATGGTGCACTGCAAACACGCCTATGTAACCCATTTATCATGTATACCAATGATTGCCAGACTAGGTATGAGAACAGTCATATTATAAAGTATGCGGATGACTCAGTGATTTTACCATCTGAAGCATGGTCCTGTCGTGGAGGATTTTGTGTTGTGGTGGGATTGATTTCTCCTCAGCTTAATGCTAATGAAACAAAGGACATGGACATGGTGATTGACTATAGGAGGTTCCCATCTAGTCACTTGATAAAATTTTACAAAATTATGTTTTTAAGAAGGGCCAGGTTTTTCTTTGTACTGTTGACCATACATTACGAACTGAGTTTTAGTCATCAGACCATCATTATAGAGTGCCTAAGCAGGACAAAAAGAATTAAAGATTCATTTTTGTGAATGAGGCCATTAAGCTAAACTGTTCTGGCCTGGAGGAGAGTGTACTTAGTGTACAAATTGAATTAATTAAGAATAGAGTCTGCTATTTTAATGTGCGTTTTGGACAATTTTATTGTTTATGATGTATGATTTCATGGATGTAATAGTTAATTTGATTGATGAGTCTGAGAATACATACAATCATGGTCAGAATTGATGGCACCCCTGGTAAATATGATCAAAACTGGCTGTACAAAATAAATCTGAATTGTTTATCCTTTTGATCTTTCATTCAAAAAATTGGCAATATTTTAACCTTTCATTGAAGTAAAAGAATTGAAAGTGGGGTGGAAATCACATTATGAAATAAATGTTTTTCTCAAAAACACGCTGGCCACAATTATCGGCACCTTTTTATTAAATACTTTTTGCAATCTCCTTTTGCCAATATACCAGCTCTGAGTCTTCTTTTATAATGCCTGATGAGTTTGGAGAACACCTGACAAGAGATCAGAGACCATTCCTCCATACAGACCCTCTCCAGATCCTGCAGATTCCCAGATCCATGTTGGTGCTTCATCTCTTCAGTTCCCTCCACACATCAGGTCAGGGTCTGGGACAGCCATGGCAGAAGCTTCATGTTGTGATCCTAAACAAATTTTTGTTTTGGATCGTTGTCCTGATGGAAGATCCAACCATGGCCCATTATAAGATTTCTAGCAGAGAATTTTTTTATCTGTTGATATTTGATAGAATCCACAATGCCATGTATCTGAATAAGAAGTCCAGGACCTCCAGCAGAAAAATATGCCCACAACATTATAGATTCAACGGTTTATTAAATTGTACACAGGGGGTACTTTTTATCCTCATGTCTACCAAACCCATCTAGTACGTTTGCTGCCAATAAGCTCTTTTTTAAGTTTCGTCTGACCAGAAGCCTGTCCCGTTTGAAGATCCAGTCATGTCTGACTACTAAGTTTGCTGGAGTTTGTTCTTGGATGAGCGAGGAGGATTTATCTTGAAACCCTCCCCAACAACATGTGGTGATGTCAGACT